AGACACCCTCCCCAGGCCGAGGCCCTCCCTCCACGCCTCGCCGGGCTCCGTGGTTGGACGCGGTGGTAGCGTGACCCTGAAGTGCCAGGGTCACTTGCAGAACCTGACCTTCATGCTGGGGAAGTGGCAGGACCCTGGGTACAGGCGGGAGCAGAGCTCAGCGGGACTCGATGCTGAATTCCTCCTCACGCACCTGCAGCCTGAACATGCCGGGATGTACTTTTGTGCCTACAAGACCACGGGCTCCCACGGGTGGTCGGAGAAGAGCGAGCACCTGCACCTGCAGGTCACAGGTGAGCAGGCAGCCTTGGCTTTTCTCCTGGGAGCACAGGTTCCTTGTCCTGTGATGGGACCCGGCAGGGAAGAAGGAATCCAGGAAACAGACAGGTGCCACCCCTCAAGTGTAGGGAAATGGGGACTGGTTGTGGGGACAAGACTGTCATCAGGGCTCTGAGTAGGTCTTAACGATGTGGATGTGGGGCAGTGTTTTATTTTTATTTTTTAATGTTTAGTTATTTATTTGAGAGAGAGACGGGGAGAAATGTTGATTTGTTGTTCCACTTATTTATGCATTCATTGGTTGATTTTTTTTTTTTTACAGTTACTCTCTATTTTTAAAGAATAGTTTATTCTTTAAAATATTCTTTAAAATATTAGAGAGAAAGAAAGAGGGAGAGAGAAAGAGAGAAAAACATTAATGTGAGAGCTGCCTCCTGCATGCCCCCTACGAGAGATCAAGTCTACAACCCAGGCATGTGCCCTTGACCAGGAATTGAACCAGCAACCTCCGGGTACATGGAATGAGGCCCAACCAACGGAGCCACACTGGCCAGGGCCATTGGCTGATTCTTGCAAGTGCCCTGACTGGGGATTGAACGTGCACCCTTAGTGTACCCAGACGACGCTCTGATCAACTGAGCTGTCTGGCCAGGGCAGTGGGACAGAGTTTTAGAATAGAGGTATTAATAGAAAACTTGAGGTGCCGCAAGGCCAAGGGATCAAGAGACAATTGTCGTTGAAGAGATAGTTTGGTGCAGTTCCCAAGAGGCCATGCAGGGCCATGTGGGGAAGCGCTAGTCAGCCAAAAACTGTGAGACCTGATCGTTAAATTAAGTAAAGTTGCAAGATATAAAATCAACATACAGAAATCAGTTTCATTTCTATACACTAACAACAAAATATCTGAAAAAGAATTAAAGAAAGCAATCACATTCACAATAGCATAAAAAACAATAAAATACTTAGAAATAAATTTAACCAAGAAGTGAAATATCTGTACAGTGAAAACAACAAGACTCAAATGAAATTAAGACACAAAGAAATGGAAAGATATGCCATGTTCATGAATAAAAAGAATTAATGTTGGTAAAATATCCATATTACCCAAAGCCATCTATAGATTTGACGCCATCTCTATTAAAATACCAACAACATTTCTCACAGAAATAGAACAATCCTAAAGTTGGCATGAAACACACAGCAGACCCTAAATAGCCAAAGCATCTTGAGAAAGAACAAAGTTGGAGGTATCACACTCCCTAATTTTACTTTTTTCATTTTTTTAATATTTCTTTTTTTTTATTATTTAAATATATTTTATTGATTTTTTACCGAGAGGAAAGGAGAGGGATAGTTAGAAACATCGATGAGAGAGAAACATCGATCAGCTGCCTCCTGCACACCCCCCACTGGGCATGTGCCCGCAACCAAGGTACCATGCCCTTGGCCAGAATCGAACCTGGGACCCTTGAGTCCGCAGCCTGACGCTCTATCCACTGAGCCAAACTGGTCAGGGCTATTTTTTTCATTTTTTAAAATATATTTTTATCGATTTCAGAGAAGAAGGGAGAGGGAGAGAGAGATTGAAACATCAATGATGAGTTTCAGTTGGTTACAGCGTTGTTCCTTATACGCCAAGGTTGCGGGTTCGATCCCTAGTCAGGGCGCCAATGAACGCATAGATGGGTGAACAACAAATTGATGTTTCTCTCTCTTTCTCTCTAAAAATCAATAAAAATTAAACTAATAATCATATCAAACTCCAGGAGTATTAAGACCCTCATTTGGAGACCCAGTAAGATTCTCTTCTCTACTTCCGGGTTTATAGAACATGAGCACTTACACCCCCGAGATCACCATGTCATCATTATGACTGCGTTTTGCATCCTGTTTTCTAGATAACCATGACAGACTTGGAGCTTCCTCAGCAAAAACAGGTAAGATAATTAGAGATTTTTTTTTTTTTACTGATGATACCTACCTCATGAGGCAGGGGATCCCTTTTGATTGAAAGGCACAAGGGGAATCTTAACACCCACTTTCTCATGCTTTGGGAGGAACTACTGCATTTGGAGGGAGATGGCTTCTAAGCCGCTCCTGAAAATCCTGGTGACTAAAAACATCATGAGGTGCATGGTCTGCCGTCCTATATAATAAAAGGCTAATATGCAAATTGTCCCCTCAACCGGGAGTTCGACCAGGGGGTGGGGCCGGCTGGCCAACTGCCTAAGGCCCCTCCCCCCACACCGGCCCCACCCCTGATCAGACCCCAGCCGGCCAGACTCCACCTGTGCATGAATTCGTGCACTGGGCCTCTAGTTTTTCATAATAAAAACTTTGGTGGAGTTTTGTGAAGCCTTGGGGGTGAGTTTGTGTGACTGGCTTGGGGCCCGGGACCAGGACCCAAAGAGATCAGGTACGTTGGCGATATGTATGATCAAGGTCTCAATACGACTTTAAAGTTCTCAACAATAGGTGAATATTAAGTTCTCTCTCTCTCTCTCTGCTTTTCCATGAAGAATTGCTTAAAGTTATGTCCTCAGAGATGCTTATAAAAATTAGGGCTTTGGGTAGTTTTATTGATGGATTGATTTTTAAAAAGAAAGGGAGAGAAATGTCAATTTGGTGTTCCATTGATGTATTCATTGGTTGATTCTTTTTTTAAAATATATTTTTATTGATTTCAAAGAGAAAGGGAGGGGGAGAGAAAGATATAAACATTAATGATGAGAGAGAATCATTGATCAGCTGCCTCCTACACGCCCCGAGCCCGCAACCCGGGCATGTGCCCTTGACCCGAATTGAACCTGGGACCCTTTGGTCCATAGGCCGGCGCTCTATCCACTGAGCCAAACAGGCTAGGGCACATTGGTTGATTCTTGTATGTGCCCTGACCAGGGATTGAACCTGCAACCTTGCTGTATGGGGACAGTGCTCTCACCAACTGAGCTATCTGGCCAGGTCTTGGGCTTTCGGTGCCACCAGGAACAGGGGTGTGCAAGCGTCCCAGTTCCTGCTTCATCTAAGTTCTACCCACGAGTAGGTTTGCTGGGACGTGTGGTAACTCTGTGTTTAACTGTTGGAGGACCTGCCAGGCTGTTTGCCCAAGTGGCTGCACCATTTTACCTTCCTGCCATATACGTGGCTCCCTCTATCTCCACATCCTTGCCAACCCTCGTTCATTTCCTTTCCTTGTATTATAGCCACCCAAGTGGGTGTGCAAGTCATTTCTTAAAATGTACTTCCTGAATTCATACTTAAACCACCACAATTCTTTTTATTCCTTTTATTTCTATTCATAATAATGGAAAGTTAGAATTTTATTTATTTACTTACTTATCCTCACCCGAGGATGTTTTTCCATTGATTTTTATTTATTTAATATATTTTTATTGATATAGAGCAGTGATGGCGAACCTATGACACGTGTGTCAGAGGTGACACGCGAACTCATTTTTTTGGTTGATTTTTCTTTGTTAAATGGCATTTAAATATATAAAATAAATATAAAAAATATGTCTTTGTTTTTTACTATGGTTGCAAATATCAAAAAATTTCTATATGTGACACGGCACCAGAGTTAAGTTAGGGTTTCTCAAAATGCTGACACGCCGAGCTCAAAAGGTTCGCCATCACGGTGCTGTCCTCTCCTCTGTTTTTACTCTTTTTACTTATGCTCTCCCCTCTGTCTGAAGTGCCATGTCCCCTGCATGTCACCAGACTGACTCTTGCTCCTTTAAAAAGACTCAGCTCAGCCCCTACCCTCATTCCATCCCATCCCAGGCTAGGAGACTTCCCTGGAATCCCGAGTCCCTGCCTGAGTCACCGTCCCAGTACTTAACCCTTTGACTGGACTTGGTGATTTCTCCCACTACCAGGGGTGGGCAAACTTTTTGACTCGAGGGCCACAATGGGTTCTTAAACTGGACCGGAGGGCCGGAACAAAAGCATGGATGGAGTGTTTGTGTGAACTAATATAAATTCAAAGTAAACATCATTAAAAAAAAGGGTACGGTTTTTTTTTTTTAGTTTTATTAAAATCAATAAAATATAATATTAAAAAAAAAAAGAATGACAGATCTTTAAGCACAGATATGTTGCCCACAGCCGGGATATGCATGCCTGGAAGCTGCCGGAAGGGACCCTGAGCTCCCATTCCGTGCAGACTGGTAAGGAATCTCACCACGTAACTGGGACACAAGGCCAGGCTTTCTCTCTGGGACCTGTCACTTCTTTCGGGTGCCTGTGCCAGACTGTAGCCCGTTGCTCCGTCACTTCCTCCAGGCCGGCAGCGTAGACTCTGTCACTTAACTTTGGCTGTTGGTAAACAGACGTGTGAAACTTGACCAGGATGTGTGGACATCTCAGGGCAAACCCGGCTCATCGGGTTGTGGGGCCCTAGGGAGGGGACAGTTTTGCAAGAACCCGCTTCTCATTTCTAGCACGTTGCTAAGGGAGAGAAACTGCAGGCTGCATGGGGGAGAAGTAAAAGGTGGAGCAGGGCTGATGTTTCTCTGCTTCCACCCAGGGCCCGGGAACAGCTGTTCCTGTCCGTGTGCGTATGGCCACGCAGATGCCCTGGTAGAATTGTCGCTTTTGAGGGTCTCTTGGATTCGGTGCCACCAGAAGCCAACTCTTAATTATTACGGCAAAAGTGATACTGGCAAGGAGTGGGGAAGGGGGATTTGGAGGGAAAGAGACTAAACAACGGTGGGATGTTCCAGTCCCTCTGCTCTGTCTTGCAAGAAAGCTCAGGAGAGAGCCCTGGCCGGTTTGGCTCAGTGGATAGAGCATCAGCCTGCAGACTGAAGGGTCCCAGGTTCAATTCCAGGCAAGGGGACATGCTTGGGTTGCAGGCTCGATCATCAGTGAGGGGCGTGCAGGAGGCAGCCAATCCATGATTCTCTCTCATCACTGATGTTTCTAGCTCTCTCTTCCTCTCCCTTCCTCTCTGAAATCAATAAAATACAATAATAATAAAAAA